TTGCATTTGTACGCTTATATGTGCATATGTAGATTTGTGTATGCATTACGAATTTCATAAGCATATTTGTACATACATACATACTTACATATAGAGCAGTGTGCGCACATGTATTTATTGATAAGTGATAATATCAAAAATTCTATTCCTCCATGTTTACACACCAGAGAATTTAAATGAACTCCAAATTGATGTACATAAGTATGTATGTATGTACATACATAAATTATTAATTTTGTAACAATTGGAATTAGAAAATTAAAATATTTTTTTTTTTCATAATCTTTCGCATTTATGCAAAACATGACATTTTATCAATTTTATATCATAAAAATAGTTTATACAACAAAAAATAATCATGCATATGTGAAGTGGCATTTGTATTTTTGGTTTAAAGTGTTTCATTTTTCTCTTTATGTTGGTAGATACGTATTTATGCCAGAGAGCGTTGTTATAAAGCGAATACCATCGTCAATGGTGAATTCTCTGCTCTGATTTTTTCAGCTCTGTTAGCCGTTCAATCGAGCATCATACAAAATTCAATTTGCACCTTTTCGTTCATTTACATTTTCTGGTAGAACAGCAGTCCGAACGGTCGCCCCAGAAATTCCTGTGAAACTGCGATCAAAATAGTCACCACAGAAATTAACGTGAAATCAAAGAACATAAATGAACGAGAAGATGCAGGTTCGACAGCGGACATTTGTAAAATTTTAGTCGGGGATTTCACCTCACAAGTAGGAGAAACAAATAACACATCTCGCTTTTATAACAGCGGTGAATCTGTACACATACCAGAGAACGTAAATGAACGAGAAGGTGCAAATTGAATTTGTATGATGCTCGATTGGGCGGCTAACAGAGCTAAAAAATTGAGATCAGGGAGTTCTCCATTTCCTGTAGTATTTGCTGTTCTTTAACAGAAATTAGATATTATAACAACGTTCTCTGGCAAAATACGTATCTCCAAACATAAAGAGAAAAATGAAATGAATGAGAAATTTTTATGATGAAAAATTGATAAAATATGATTTTTTTGCACATATGCTACATTGATAAAATGTGAAAGATTATGCAAAAAATGGTATTTTACTATTTTCATAATTTTCTAATTTCAATTGTTACAGAATTAATAATTTACGTATGAACATATGTACATCAATGGTGTATGCATTAATTCGTGCGGTTTTCTAAGAGAGGGCTCTACTAGTATTATTTCGCGTCGTATTCATCTGTGGCTATATTCATTTCAAAGGTACTGCCATTTCGCGTCGTTTTCAGTAGATATAAATTGTTTGAGCGTGAACAACAATTTGTTTCATTCATTTGAAAATGTCGAAATTTGTACCAGATAAAGTGTTTTTGCGGGGAGTTCTTCTTCATTATTTTAACATGAAGAAAAGTGCTGCCGAAAGCCATCGTATTTTACTGGACGTTTATGGTGACCATGCTTTAGCCGAACGAACGTGCCAAAAGTGGTTTGCACGGTTTAAAAGTGGCAATTTCGACTTAGACGACGGAGAACGACCCGGACAGCCAAACAAACTTCAAGACAAAGAATTGGAGACATTGCTCGACGCAGATGCATGCCAGACGCAAGAAGAACTTGCAAAAGTATTAGGAGTTGATCAAGCAACTGTTTCCAGACGATTAAAATCATTAGGATTCATCCAGAAGTTTGGAAATTGGGTGCCTTATGAATTAAAGCCAAGAGACGTCGAACGTCGATTCTGCATGTCGGAAATGTTGCTTCAACGCCACCAAAAGAAGTCGTTTTTGCATCGGATTGTCACTGGCGATGAAAAATGGATTCATTATGATAACCCAAAGCGCAAGAAATCGTATGTGAAGCCCGGCCAACCATCAACATCCACGGCAAAGCCGAATATCCATGCTGCTAAGGTTATGCTATGTATTTGGTGGGACCACAAGGGTGTGCTCTATTATGAGCTATTGAAATCGGGTCAGACGATCAATGGGGACCTCTACCGAAAACAATTGATTCGTTTGAAAAAGGCCATCGCGGAAAAACGACCAGAATATGCGACCAGACACGAATCAATAATTTTTCATCATGACAACGCTCGGCCACATGTTGCAAGGCCAGTTAAAAACTATTTGGAAAAATGTGGGTGAGAAGTTCTACCTCATCCGCCTTATAGCCCAGACATAGCACCTTCCGATTACCACTTGTTCAGATCAATGCAAAATGCCCTCACCGGAGTACGCTTCTCTTCAGAACAGGGTATCAGAAATTGGATTGATTCTTTCTTGACCTCCAAGCCGGAGAAGTTCTTTTGGGATGGGATCCACAAACTGCCAGAAAGATGGGCAAACATCATAGCTTCCGATGGGCAATACTTTGAACATTAAATTTATAACAATTTTTTCACAATAAAGTCTTAATTTTCGTAAAAAAAAAACCGCACGAATTAATGCATACACCATATTATCACTTAACAATAAAGATATGTGCACGCACTGATTTATATGTAAGTATGTATGTACAAATATGCCTCTGAAATTAGTGATGCATACACAAATCTAGATATGCACACATAAGCGTACAAATGCAAGTTTGTCAGCCAATAGAAAAAGTACAAACATTGTTATAATAGCATGAACAGCATCATAATTCAATACAGCAGCCAAATTGACAAATCCTAAATTTGTAGTTAATCACACAAAAACAACATTTTCATTCATGAATGCTGGCCCACATGCAATAAGCGCAGACTGACCCAACTTTCTGATGTTCCCTCTAGAAGGGAAAAGTGACAACCCTGCATGCATACAAAACACAGGAAGAAGTGACGAAAGTGACAACAAAGCTTTTGCCGATTAAAAATATTTTACAATTTTATACAATTCTAAAATATTTTTCCGTGAGTCGCAAAAACCTGCGTCAATATGTATGCATGTTCATATATAAACATATGTACATATTTATAATGATTTGTAGGCAAAGCTGTTAGAGCGGCAAGGGAAGTGATAACAATCGGTGACTTAACGTGTATATATCTACATGTATACATATGTATGTGATTTTTAAACAAATTTACAAATATTTTTCTTTCATATTTCTTTACATGTACACATGATATGAAAATGCCGACAGCAAAACACAATTCTGTACTTTTGTGACTCCATAATGGTGTCAAGTACATGAATTATTTTAAGAAATATATCAAAATATTTCTACATTATTACTAATAACTCGCAATAAAGTAAAAATGAATTAACATAAAATAATTTTAAAAAAGTAAATAATAGTTCAATAAAAGGGAATATCTTTCAAATGGCATATCAATATTCCCAGCTTGGCATACATATTATTATTATAGTATCTTAAATATTCGCCGTTGGGCATGTTAAGAGAGCCGTATGTGCAGAGAACTTAGAAGAATGAGAAGGTGCAAAGGAAAGGTGGACTCTCGCAAGGTCAAATGGTATACTCGTTTAAGATTTCTTTGTGGATTGACTGATATTTTCGGTAGAAGGTCAACTATGGGCACTGGGGTCCACATATTTAGTACTTAGGGGCTTGAACGGTTTTGGTTCGATTTTAACAATTTACTTTAAACGCATTATTCACGCAAAGTTTTACCCCGATACAATCATTGTTGCTTGATTTGCATACTGGAAAGTGAAAGAATCAAACGGAATTTAAAATGGTATTATATGGGAAATAGGCGTGGTTGTAATCTGATTTCGCCCATTTTCGCACTATAACATAGAGATATAAATGTTACGTTCCGAATTTGGTTGAAATTGGTTAAGCAGATCTCAAGATATGGGTTTTCACCTAAAAGTGGGCTGTGCCACGCCCACTGTCTAATTTTGAACGCGGTTCCTATAAAGTCATCTCATACCATCCCAGAGATAAAATTTAATGTCTCTGGCGTGTTTAGTGCTGGATTTATCGCGCTTTTATTAGTTTTTAACTTTACCGTTTTTGGGGAGTGGGCGGAGTTGCCCGATTTAAACTATTTTCACACTGTAGGTAGAGGTTCTAAAAACATTTACTTCCAGTGAATTTTGTTATTATAGCATTAGCGGTTTAGGAGATATGCACATTAAACCTATTAGGGGCGGGACCACGCCCACTTTAAAAAACTTCCTGCAGATGCCCGTCCCTAATGTGATCCTGTGTACCAAATAACAGTCTTGTATCTTATTGCGGAGCTTAGTTATGGCAAGTTCACGGTACCAAGAAACATGTCTACCAAGTTTCATACAGATATCTCAATTTTTACTCAAGTTAGAGCTTGCACGGACGGACAGACAGTCACCCGGATTTCAACTCGTCTCTTCATCCTGATAATTTATATATACATAACCCTATATCTAACTCGATGAGTTTTAGGTGATACAAACAACCGTTAGGTGAACAAAACTATTATACTCTGTATCAACAGGTTGCGAGAGTATAAAAAACCGGAATCAAAACCGCGCGATCTGGCCGTCCGAAAATATTATCAGCTCGGGAAGAACAGAAAATAATAAATACGGTGAAAGTTAACCCTCGAATTACGTCCACAAAGATAGTTGAAAAAGTCCACAAAGATAATTATAACCATTAAAAAAACCATATATGTCGAAACTGCTAGAAAAATTTTACGAAAAGCTGGATATCATGGTAGAGTCGCTCGGAAGAAACCATATATTTCACTTGTAAACAGGCGGATGCGCATTGAATTTGCTCATAATTATATAAGTATGTTGCCGGAATTTTGGAGTAATATTTTCGGATGAAAGTAATTTTTGTATTGAATTTAATTGTTCTTTATCATTTTTAATATTTTTGTAACTAATTTTAAAGCTGAACGCAGACTTAATGGTGCCTGTGTTTACTTGATCTTACACTAAAATCCTGTTGTCACAAAAATGAAAATAGGAATATACATTTTTGTTTTTGCATTTTGAACTTAAAAATATAGGAAGAAATACATGTAGAAAATTTGAACTGTATATATATTCTTACTATTTTTTATTTTCAGCCGGTCAAAGCTCTGAAAATAAAAATATAAATATTTGGGATACATTATTGCCTCACAAAAAATCGTGCGTTTCTGGTAAGTACAATCATATTACTTAAGATATGATGAAAAAGTTTATACGTTTGTTTAAGTAGTATTTATAAAACAAAATTTTTACAACCATGTACATACAAACACTAGGAGAAAAAGTCTGCGTACAAGGTACCAACAAACATAAATCGTTGGAAAAATAATTTTAGATACTTTTTATAAAAACCAATTTATTTGATATTCATTAAAAGACATTAAAAATGTGGTTTTATGAAAATAAAAGTGATTAAATTTCCGACAATACCATATAATCAAAGCAAAACATGCCGACGAATAAAACATCCATTAGAAAAAGTCTGCGTACAGGGTAGGGTACATAAGTTGAGCAAAGATATTCTTTCACCGAAGTCTTCTTAAAATTTAATAGGAAGTCGGATATTCCCAACGTTTTGAAACTTCCGCTAGAGGTTTTGGCATAAAATAGACAAGCTCAGAGGTTTCTGTTGAAGGGATGTAAGTCCTGGTTCAACATAAACCCAAAACTTGTTTTCATTGAACAAAATAACTTTCTGCCAAAACCACGCCAATATTTTGTACTTGCCTATTGACTAACGCTATGAATGACTTTCTGTGTGTGAAAGATTCCTTAAAGTTTTCTTAAAATTTTGAGCGATTTTGGTTGCAGTAAGTCGGGGGTTTTACTTCATATTTTCTGTCACATGGCTAGGTGTTTCACGCTATGCTAGTATTTTTGGACACCCTGGACGGGCCGAGATATAAAAAAGCCGCTGTTTAAAATTTTTAAGTATTCTTTTTATGGAAGAATGTGCTCTTCCAACAATTCGACTGATTTCACCGTATATTTTTCTTTCTGCCAAAAATTTAACCATAATTTACCTTTCAGAAAATCTCTTTGTTTTCTTTTAGGCGTTATTCGATCTCACGATTTTAAAAACAAACTGAGTAAAACAAAGGTCGTTTAAAATTGCTACTTTTACGAAAACAACTGTAACTATAACTTTCCTACACTTTTTCTCTAGGTTTTTGCGGGAAGAATTCCCATTTTACTACTTGTACGCAGACTTTTTCTGCGCTACGAAATGACAATTTTGTGTAAATTTATCGATTAAACTAAGGTATCAGATTTTCACTGCTTTAAGTTCTATTAAATTATGCATAAACTAGCAATAAAGCACTTAATGTGATTTCATCTAAAATTTTGTATATAAAAAATATTTTTTAACAAAAGAAAATAATACATAAGTGTGTACGCAGACTTTTTCTGCCGAGTGTACATACATATATCGTCATACAGTTAAATATAATATTTTCCACATGTTGATCTGAGAGGTAGAAAGTCGTTGGCGAATAAGGATATAAAAGGTAGAGACTTAAACTGACTACACGCTTACAAAAAATTGGAAAATAATTTAAAAGTATTTATAGTTACATATATGTAACTAAAAAATATACATACATAGTTTGAAACATTTGAAAAAAAATGATTGCTTAGATTTTTTAAAATCAAAATGAATTCCCGAATTATGAATTAGATTGTTTATAGTAAGTTTTCTAGATACGGCAGATGGCAACTAAAAACTTAAAGTTTCTAGAGAGATGACTCTTCAAAGACACCTCAATCGTTTTTAATATAAAATATGTATGTCAACACCTGTACCATAGATCAATAACTGACAACCATTTACCTAATTAAGTATATTATAGAGAAACTATATACATACATATGTATGTATTTAGAATATGTAATTTCAATAGACTTAATCAATGACAAATTACATACAAACTAATAATTGATCAGTACTAATATTACATATTACCTTTATTTCCTATAGCCTTTACATGTCACGATCAAGGATCGTCATGCATGTGTTTTGCTCCGCAACATCAATTGTTGATTTCCTGTGGAAAAAAAGGTGATGTTTGCGTCTTTGATATAAGGCAGAGGACTCTTAAACACCGATTTCAGGTACATCGGACTATATAGCTATTATTAGTATTAGTAAATGATTATATATGACAAATATAAAATATATTTTCAGAAAAATCATACATTTAAAAATGTGTTAAAATTGGGAAATCTGGAAAAGTCAGTCCTTCCTAATAATTGCTTCATGCATTGTTATGATTATGTTTTGTTTCTTAAATCCGATTTCTTGACAAATTTCATGGAAGAAGTGACAAAAATGTACTTAGTTGACAAAATTGTTGGCAGGCTCATATAAATTTTTGGCAAACGTAATGAAATAATCAGACAGACAGTTATCGACTATAGTCTGGATATGTCACTCTCACTTTTTTTATAATGATCAGAGTTTCAACTTTGAAATTTAATTAAAAAAATAAATATGCAGCGCGGCTTTATTGCACAGCTGGTTTTTGTAACTTTCGGCAAAGATTTCCCACTAAGTTGTTAATGATGTAAAATAACAATGACTACCTATTATTTTTTTGTAATGCAAACATAATAGATAATTAAAATTAATATTTTCCAGGCGCATGATGCTACTATAAAGTGTATTGCTCTTGATCCGCACGAAGAATTTTTCGCTACAGGATCTGCTGAAGGTGATATTAAGGTAAGTCACTGATTATAGTTAGAAAATAATACATTATTATGCATTATTGATTGGTTTAATTGTATGTTTTCCAAGGTAATTTTTTACAGATATTTCGCAAACGTAACATAAAAAAAAATAAATAAGACCAAAATATTAAAATTTTCTTGTGATTACCAATTCATACACCCACTCGTCCCTTCTAAAAGATATCAATCGCGATTTCTTTCAATTTTCAAATTCAACTAATATTGTTGACAACCGATGCTGTGCATGAACTGAGTTTGGAATACTGTCATGTGGCATACTGTGAGATTGAGGATTTCCTCTCCATAAATTCCACTCGCATATAGTCAGCATAAGTTAAAAACTTGTTTGCGTTAATTTTACAATTGACATTGCTTACAATTTTACAATTGATGGAAAGCTTAGGTCGAAGAGAAATGCTTCTTAGTCAGAAATTCATTGAACTTATAACAAGAACACTGTTTCTCAACTTTGCTCTACTGAAACCTCTTTAAAGACAAAAACAAGCTTCTAAACAATTGAGGGTGAATTAAGTTCGGACGCTATCAAATATATATTTCGCAATTCGTAAAAATATTTAAAAAAATTTTTAAATAAAAAATTATAATAAATTTAATGGTTACGATTTTCTAATGTAACTAATTAGTTATCAATTCGGAACAACTAGGTGATTTATTTTTATACATTAGATTTCTCTAATAATTCGAAAATAAAATATTAGCTCGTCAGCTCGTTAATGATTGCAGAAAATCTTAAAGACGATCAGAGTATACAAGTCCCTATACGGTATTGTGGTGACACAAAACAAGAACTAAATTTCCTGGTTGTTTGAAAATATTAATATTGGAAATAACTCAAGTCTTTTCAATAAAATATTTAACACATTTTAACGTTTTTTTTTATTTGTATTTTCAGATATGGAGCTTAAATCAGTATTCGTTAATTAACGCATACCCGGCTGAACATGCCAAAAACAGTTTCTTTAAACATATTGGCCAAGGTGTCAGCCAAGTGCTTATAGACAATTATGGGCGTCTATTCTCTTGTGGCTCCGATGGGTGCATGAAAGTCCGGCAGCTAGTGGAAAAGGAATCAGTTATTCAGACTATGTACTAAAGTATTTAAACGTATGTCACTATTACGGTTTACAACTCAACTGCATTTTAGTTAGAGTTTTTAAATTCGATATCATTAATAACAACTCCAAGTTCAACTTTTTTGTGGCTTACCGTCGATATTATCAAAAATGGGAAACTGCTACAGTTTTTCAGTTAGAACATTAGTGCAGTTTGTTTTGGAAAAATATCAACAGGAATTTTGAAAATTTATTTTGTACAAGTACATAGAAATAAATTGGAAAACTTGTTGAACCGTTTCTCCTTCACGTTTTTGGAAGTGTTCCTTCATCTCATTTAATAAAAAAACAATATGCTCCTTATTCCTTTCAAATTTCCTTACTTGGTACTTAAATGTTCTAATGGATTTCAGTAAACACGAAGTCTTTACTTTTTGACAAATTTTCACTATTTTGGATTGGCAACATCAATAAAACTACAAATTAAGTTAGTTGTCAATAAATATACTAAACGATACGTTTATATTATGCAGTTAAAATGTTCTTCAATTTTCTTCTTCTAACTTCAATTTATCTGAGTGGAGTTGTAAACAGTAATGGGATTAGTAACTATTTAGAACAACTTCTTGTTGGATATAAAAAACCAAGTATTCATTATATGTATATTTATGTTATATTTATGTATTTTCAAAAATAAAGTAAATGTTATCAATTCCAATAGGTTTCTTTTAAACAGTTCAAATTTGTTTTTACATAGAATTTTTACCAATCTAAATAACAAGTAAATGAGTCGTAGCATGACCCAGAGCTAAAATCCATATTATAATTGCACACATTGTACAATAGGGCAATTCAGAATCTTGCTCAAATGGTCTTGCATTCTTGTTGCTTGCTTGCTTTACACTTCCTAAATGAACAGGGATTCACCTGCTACACTCTTGTAAAGAAGCAACACTAAAACACCATTGTATTGTGAAGTTTGCAAATTGCCAGCTGTTGTCAAAAATATAAATAACCATGGCCATGAATTTCTTGAAGGAAGCTGCAGAAGTAGAGGTAAGTGATTTTTGTTCTGAGCACTTATTGGTGTTGTTGTTGTTGTAACGGTTATCTAGTCCCCGCTTCGATAGTAAGTGATAGTTTGGTTGTCGTCGACACAGGAGCACAGACTGTTCAATGTTACGCCTAAAATTTTAGGGTTATTAACTGTTGGAATTTTTGTGCCATCGACTAAAATGTTCAGTCTGTATTCCTTCGTCCAATTTGTGAATATGGTCGCTGTGGATTTAGTGGGGGAGAGTGTCAGACTCCTTGCAGAGAAAAAGCGAGAATGGTCGGAGAAGTATTTACTTTTGAGCGGAGGAGCTGTTTACTTTTGAGCACATGCCATCGATTCCATTGCCCGACGTCAATATCAAGCAGTCATCAGCGTACGAGGTCACGAAAATTCCCGCTGGTGGTTGGGGGGGTTTCGAAATGTTGAAATTAAACAGTAGTGGGGAGAGGACACCGCCCTGTGGAACCCCCTGTTTAATTCTTCTAAGTTTGGAGTTCTGGCTTCGAAACAGTACGGATGAATGGCGACCGCTCAGATAGTTCATGGTCCAACGCTTCAGCCCTGGAGGGAGCGTTGATTGTTCTAGGTCCTCAAGTAGCGTTGTGTGATTGACTATGTCAAAAGCTTTTGACAGGTCCAACCCTACGACGATCGTCCTTTCGCAGGGTCGCTTCTGGTTTACGTCATGAATTATCTGGGCGTTTATAACGCTAAGTGCTGTGGTGATGCTGTGCACTTTTGGGAAGCCATACTGATGGTCTGCTAGACTCAGGTGATGAGTGAACGTCGGGAGTAGCAAGGCCTCAAGTGCCTTCACTACTGGGGAAAGGAGTTATCGAGCGATAAGACTCCCCTTTGTTGGCGGGTTTCCCAGGTTTCAGTAGTGGGACCACTCTTCCGACTTTCCACACATCGGGTATTTGAAGAGTGGATATCGAAAAGTTGAGGACCTTGGTGAGGTAGCTTACTCCCGTCAAGCCTAGATGTTTTAGCATCAGCATGCTTATTCCGTCAGGGCTAATGGATTTAGACGATTTGGCCTTTTTGATGACACTCTGCACCTCCCCATCGGTGAAAATAAGTGGTGCGCAGTCTTTTGGCATTTTGCGCAGCCGTCAGTCGAACCGTGCAGTGAAAAGTGCCGGCTAAAATAGCTCGCGCACTTCTTCGGGTCCGAGGAGGCATGGCCATCGAATTGAATTTCAACCCGGTCGTCATGTCTCTTCGGATTAGACAAGGCCTTAACAGTAGTCCAAAGCTTACTTACACCGGTGGAGAGATTGCAGGACTTCAGGTGCTCTATCCATTTTGCCCACTTATGTTGATTTACCATTTGCCGAATCTCCAAATTGAGATCCCTTATTCGGGGATCACAGGGATCGGCATGGCGTAAGGTGTCGCACTCGTTTGCTAATACAGCTGCTTCGGCTGGGAAATTAGGGCGGAGTTCCGGGATTTCTTCCAGCTGGTATGAAACGAGTAGTAGCAGCAGCGATCACCTTGCGGAATTGATGCTCGCCAACGATGACGTCCATAGGAATGGATAGTGCGTTGAAGGTGCTCTCAGTAAATTCTGTGAAGGCGACTCAGTTAGCTTTGTTAAAGTTGATGAAGGTGCGGTTGTCCACAGAAATAAAGTCGGGAGGTTTCTCGATCGAGATAATTATGAGCAGATGGTCTGATGCGAGAGTCTATATAGGTCTCCAGGTTATGCTATTTGTCAGACCACCACTAGCGATGGTACTATCGGGCAAGCTATTACAGGTGCCCATAATTCAGGTGGGGGCTTCCTAGGTAGGGGGGTTTTGGTCAGACTGGGAGTCATGCTGCCTAGAGCTCCTTAGGGCCGTAGAGGTCCTTTCTTGGACACTCGACTGGAGTGGCGGCGCAGTGCGCGAACATGGTGCAGATTGCACAGCCGTTAAGCCTGGTGTCGCAGTATTGCGTTGGCAGCATGGGGAAACGTAACTTGTGGTACATTCCCTATGTGTCTTAAGACCTGAGCATGTCCTAAGATGGCTCCATCCATTGTATGTATTACACCTAACCGAGGTGGAGTTTGGATAAAGCCTTTTAGCGCATATGCAGCAAAATAATTCCTCTGGGCCCGAGTTGAACTCGATGCCACCACGAGTCAAGAGGATACGGAGCAACCCTGCTGCTAAGTGTTGCTCTAATGACGACAACCTTAAACTAACACTTACCGATCCAAACAGGGTTAGATAGCCGAAATAACAGCCCTTGGTCGGGTAAAATCCAAGTCAATTCCGGTAACGAAAAACCGGCTGTTGTGGAAATTCATTGGCAAAAAGTCAGCACAGTCAGTACGAGTATAATTGATTGAAAAGTTTTCTAATTTATGTGAAAATTTTATAAAATGTTTTTCTTTACCAATCAGCTGTAAATTAATGGTATGCAACATGGGTTGCAACGAAACCTCCAAAATATGTTCACAGTTCATGGTAAATATTTGCAATTGCATAATTTTACGAACTCAGATGCACAATACTCTGAATTGCTATATTGTAAACTTATTTTCGAATCAATAGCTACCAGGATAGTAATCAAACTAAATAAACTTAAAACAAGTAAGAAAGGGCAAAGTTCGGGTGTAACGGAACATTCCATACTCTTGCAACTTCCAAGAATCAAAGCCGAGGAAGTACCTTTAAGTGTTGGCAAATATTATATTATATTAAGAAATGTGAAAAGGTGCATAGATGACAATCAAATTTGGTTTTATTACTATATTTTACTTCTGGTCAGCGAAAATTATACTAAAATCGTTGGGGAAATAGAAATGGAAGGGCTGATTGCATTATTTTTGACATTGCCCAGGTATACTTGAGAACTTATTTTCAACCAATTTTATAAATTTAAACATATGTATGGAGTAAAGTCAGGCAGACGTTTGAAAATCGTGATTATCAGTTATATCGGGGATAAGGTAAGTTTTCGCTGATTTTATCTATTTTAGGCACAAAGAAAACACGCTTTTTAAATTGTATTAAAATAATTCACATTGACCGATATATGGTATAAAGTCAACTGGAAGTTGGAAAATCTTTATATTAGGTACATACGAGTATATTGGCTAAGGGAAGTATTGATCCGATTTAAACCATTTTTGACAAGGGTATATTATTGTCAAAAAACCATTTTTTCCTAATTTCAATGATGTATGTATCTCATGGATTGATCGATATATTCAGCAAAAAATCAGCCATAAGCTTTTGGGTCCACGTTTCCGGTATATGGGGGCTTGAATAGTTATGGTCTGATTTTGACAATTTTTAGACCTGAGATAGCAATACATTAAAGGAAATATTCGTGCAAATATTTATCCCGATATATTAACTAATGCTTGATTTGTACTGGGATACTCGAAAGTGAAAATAACAGATGGAATTTAAAGTTGCGTTATATGGGCAGTGGGGTGGTTACTATCCGATTTCGGTGAAGTAGGTTCAGAGATAGTGATTTCACCTAAATGTGGGCGGTGCCACGCCTATTGTCCAATTTGGAAAACTGTGCCCTTCATTATCGGGGAACACAATACACTCCTCTCCAAGAAGTTTTTGATCGGCTGTTTTCGCAGAAATCTCCGAACGAATTGTTTTATTTGCCATGAATGCAAATAGCGGAACTAAT